AGCCCCGCGTCGTGTGCGCGGGCGGAGGGGAGCCGCGGCCGACAGCGGGGCCCCGTTGTCGTGTGCGTGCCCGCAGGAGTGGTGAGCATCGGGGAGCACAACGTTCAGGAGCTGATAGTCGCCGCGGACATGCTGCAGCTCACCGAGGTCGTGGAGCTGTGCTGCGAGTTCCTGAAAGGGCAGATCGACCCCTTCAACTGCATCGGCCTCTTCCAGTTCTCCGAGCAAATTGCCTGCCATGACCTGTTGGAGTTCACCGAGAACTACATCCATGCTCACTTCCTGGAAGTGCAGAGTGGAGAGGAGTTCCTGGCCCTAACAAAAGAGCAGCTGATTAAGATCCTGCGAAGTGAGGACCTAAGCATAGAGGATGAGTACCAGGTTTTCATAGCTGCAATGCAATGGATTCTGAAGGATCTGGGAAAAAGAAAGAAACATGTAGTAGAAGTACTGGAGCCTGTTCGATTCCCTCTCTTACCAGCACAAAGACTTTTAAAATACATAGAAAGTAAGTAAAGGAAGGAAATAATATCAGATGTTTGTATCTGTGTGAATTATGTGTTGTTCAGGGTTACTGGCATTTTTTTTAATTTGATAGTACAATGAGTGGAAATAATTACTTTACATCAAACAAGTTGCATTTCTTAACCAATAGAAACAGGCATATTTTAAAAATACGCTTTTGAGAAAGTTATAAAGAATCCAGGCTTAATTTGTTTGCTTTTTTAGGAGAAGCTAGTAACTTTTTCATAGATGAGTTATTCATAGATGAGTTATTCAAATCTCTGATTTTTCATTATGCCTTTTTTGATCTGCTTCTACATCTCAAGGTGTTCCAGATTTCAGCCTTCGGGTGGCCCTGCAAACTCTGTTGAAAGAATACTGTGAAGTCTGTAAATCTCCCAAAGAGAACAAGGTCAGCAGTTTTCTGCAAGCTTCTAAAGCTCGTCCCCGGAGGAAAGCCAGGAAGTACCTTTATGCAGTAGGTTAGAATGTGGCTGTTTGAACTTTATAAAACAAATGATGAAGTAGTATCTCATGTTACAATACTGAAAGAGGTACTGAGCTCTTTGTTTAATTAGAAGGTACCAAAATATCAAAATGATTCATCAGGCAGAGTTACTGAGTGAGTTGCTTTCTGCTTAGTATTGCAGAAAGGGGGTGAGTTCGCATTTCATCATATCATCATAACATGGTATTCAAAGTCTAGATTTGCCTTTCAGAAGTTATTTGCCTTGGGTAGAAAGTTGCGAATTACCAGGGGATTCACCTGTGGTTCACTACTGGAATGGTGTATGCGAGTTTGCTGCGCTCTTTGTTCTTCTAGAGGTTATATTTCTCCCCTTCTTAAAATAAAATTTTGCATTTATAAAAGTGTTGGTGCTTTTACAAAGTATGTACAAACAACCCTCAGGTCTTTTAAACTCTGCATTATACTAGTTTTATTTAGGTATGCTATTTATCCCAGACAGGAAATGTATCAAGTGAATATAGCACGAAAGCATGTGTGTATTAATAAAAAAGTGACTTTAAGTATGTTACCAATTGCAAAAGCATCACACGATTAAGATCAGAGGCCCCCCCCCCCCCCCCCCCAAGTGCTTTTTTAAGGGATCTGTAAGAAATTACAGAATTGGCTCCTATTTCAAAGAGTCACTGAGGAGAATGAGAGGCTGTTTCCTGCGTCTTTCAAACTTAGCTGAGCCAGAGATGAATTGACTTGTCAAGATCACCAGAACAATTGCAGCAGAACAGAGACTAGACTCCCTGTATCACAGAAGAGCAATACTCTGCCTAGATTATAAAACTGCCTGATCTGCTCAGATTGATACTGTGGTATTTGAAAGAAAATCTTTTTCTCTTGGGTTTACGATCAGCATATTTTAGGCTTTAATAACCTGAGCAGAATTTTTTCCAACTATTAAACTTTGCCAAATGTGTGACACAGAGCATTTATAGAAGATGTGTATTGAAACTATTGAAACTTTCTCTGACCAGAGAATTCCGTTTCACATAATGGGATAACGTGTTTCCCCCCCCACACCCCTCTTTTGGTTAAGCTTTTCTTAGCAAAGCTATAGGTTTGCATTGGAGGGAAATACTACTGTTTCACCATGTGGGCAGTAACACCGCTTTAGATCGTGCGGGCTGTTGGTTGGTCTCTGCGTTTTATTGAGAACATCAGTAATACATAATCAATAACATTTGTACTGTGGTGGTGAGTTGTTCAGTTGAGCAACCTGCAAGACGACTGTTCTTCCAGGTCTGCTGGAGAAGCTATGCTACTTGGAAAAGTTTGATTCCCACAAAAAGTGGCTAATGCCAGTTATTGTAGTTTTTCCTGTGGTTCAGATACAGGAGCAAGAGGATGAGCGGGAAGCTCTTACTGTGTTATAACTTTTCTACCCACTTTCCAGGTGGATACACCCGGCTGCAAGGAGGACGCTGGAGTGACAGCAGAGCCCTCAGCTGTGTGGAGCGGTTTGACACCTTCAGCCACTACTGGACCACAGTGTCTTCTCTCCACCAGGCCCGGAGTGGGCTGGGTGTGGCTGTTGTGGGAGGAATGGTCTATGCCATCGGAGGTAAGAGCTGAAACGAACGCTTTCTGTAGAGTGTTCACAATGCTGACAGTAGAGCCCTGTGCTGCTATATAAAGCATTTCTGTGCTTCTAAAAAGAAATGACTGCCCCTAGAAATTCCCTGAAGAATTTACTTGCATCAGAGGCATTGTCATCTGGACTGTGATTTGATTTCAGAATGTTGAATAGTTTGCGCATGTTCTAGAAGTACGTACCCTATGGTGGTATGATAGATTCCTGCTCCTCAACTGTAGTGGCAGTGTATGGTTTTGTTGTTCTTATTCTGTTAGAGTTAAGGCAAGAATTGATAGGTAGAGAGGCTCCTTTCCTCACAAATGAGTCAACTGTGATTCAGTAGCCGGGAAAATTTTGGTGCAGTGTCCTTTACTGACTAAACAGGGAACCAGTGTTGTATGCTTTCTTTCGGGCTGAGTTCTTGGGGGAAGGCTTCTTTAAGTACCAGCTTGCAATACTGTGTGGGCCTAACGTCACACAGCCTAAAATCTACCACTTTTATTTGTTTCCCTGGCTGAATTTTAAGTCTTCAGAAGCGTATGGCCTTGTTTGTCACGTGGATACTATAGAACTCATGGTGAAGGTTTTGCAATTATTCTTGTAGGTGGTTCTGAGGAACTTAACAGTAGACAGTGCAGCTTTTAGATTTAGTAACAGCTGAAAATTGCGATCTGCCGTTCTTTGCCATCACTGCTCTATGAATGTGAGTTTTGGACTCCTCTGCTGGCCATTTCTTAGTGAGCTGCTTTTCCCATATGGCGTAGAGGCTTCCCGGGTAAGCACATGGATGATATGTGCAAGCATACTGAGAGGTGTTTGGTATACTAGTGGTGCACGAAGCCCACAGAAATAGCAGTTCCTTTCTCTCTGCTAGTCTAGCAGAAGCCTGCAGCATAAAACTCAGTAGTATAGCACAGTCCCCTTGTGGTCTGCCTGCCTGCCTAGAGAGACTTGTTTTGTATGTTTTCACAGGGATGTGACAGGTAGCTCTACCAGTCTGTTATCAAAGAATGCATATGTCTATTGTTTGTCTCCCTAAAGAATACCTTCTCTGGTCTTGAAAACCCTATCAGTTGTGCCGCAGGGTAAAGCGTGTAACACTGTTCACTCCTCTGTTTTCAGTGATGTTTCAGGCAACTGTTGCCGAAAGCTGTTTCCAGTGCTGATTCTGTTTCTAAGTATAAATGAGCCTTTTGCTGCTTTGGCTGTTTGGCTAGCTAAAAGAAAGATCTTGTATTCAGATGTTGTCTGTTCCGGAAGAAACTGAAGAATGGTTGCATAGCTGCGGTGCAAAACGCTGTCATTCCCCTGTCCTTGTTTTTCTTCTTTTTATCCAGGTGAGAAGGACTCGATGATTTTTGACTGTACTGAATGTTATGATCCTGTTACTAAGCAGTGGACTGCTGTGGCTTCCATGAACCATCCCCGTTGTGGGCTGGGAGTGTGCACGTGTTATGGTGCTATCTATGCTTTGGGTAACTATTTTGTTTCCCCTATGTGAAGCTAATTGTGAAGGTGTGTGTTACTAGAACTTGTAAACGGATTGATTGTAAATATTATGCCTTTGTGTTTCAAATCTAAGTTTTGAAAAACAGTTGTTTAAATGAGCAATAGTATAACAGATCTTTGTGGGTTGATTATTGTTCAGTTATAATGTATTTCCTGTGTAGAGTGCATGCTGTTATATCACACCTGTTTTCAGAATTAGTGTGTCCTGGAACAGTGTTCAATATGTCTAAAATTCAGTTAACACACAACTTTGTGCACAAAATTATTTCCTATATTTGCTGTCATTTGCAGGAGGCTGGGTTGGTGCAGAGATTGGCAACACAATTGAAAGATTTGATCCTGAAGAGAATAGTTGGGATGTGGTGGGAAGCATGGCTGTGCCCCGGTACTGCTTTGGATGCTGTGAAATGCAAGGTGCGTTTTGGTAAAGGTTGGAGAGAAATTGGATTTTGTTGGATATTGAAACTCTATTTTGGTTATGAATTCTTACCTTTGTCTTGTGCTGTGCCACCAGTTGCACAAGCTGATGTATCGCTCTTGTGCCTCACTATTTGTCTTTCTGGTACCATTTTTATTTCTACAGAACTCAAAGGCTGTCAAGTTCTCTTTGTCTCCTGCCTTTTACCCCTTGAAAGAGGTTTTTATGTGGTCCTCAGTATGTTTACCCAGCCAACGCATTAGCAGTTGATTGTCCTTCCTGGCAGTGCTTTTGTCTTGTATAGATGTCTGTGTGTGCATCTGTGAGTATCTGAAGAGTTGCCACAGATCATCGCAAGGCAAACACATCTAAAGACTCGATGTGTGAATGTGTTTAAGCATTTGATTCAGGCTTGCTCAGCAGATGCAGGCTTCTGAATTCTTTACCCTGCATTTGGTTAAATTAATGATGGCTTTCATAAGAGCTTCTAGTGTTTGAGCCTCTTGGTCACTTATGTGAAAACTTTATGTATGTTATTTCTGGGCAAATGGAGGATTTTATTTGGGATTCTTAAATCATCTTAATGCCAAGTGGAAAGGGGTATTGTGATCAACGTTTCTTTCTTCCAGACCCTTCTATTATGAAATCTGACATAGGGAAAACTCTTATTTCTGCAGGTTTGATTTATGTGGTTGGCGGTATCAGCAACGAAGGAGTAGAATTACGTTCTGTTGAAGTCTATGATCCAATATCTAAACGTTGGTCTGAGCTTCCTCCAATGGGAACCCAAAGAGCATACCTTGGTGTAGCTACTCTCAACGATTGTATTTATGCTGTGGGAGGCTGGAATGAATCTCAAGATGCACTTGCTACTGTAGAAAGATACTCCTTTGAAGAGGTATGGTAGAGTCCCTTTCTTTTAGAAATGTAGATAGCATCTTAACACAATCTTAATGCAATGGGGATAGCCTGCTTCCTTTCTTTAAAAAGGGGGGGAAAAAAAACTTGAATGTTGCACAGCAGGGAAAATTCGGTTTGCTAGAAGCAATTAAAACAAATTCCGTTTCCTCTTCACTACTAGATGGTAATCAGTGTGAAAACCAAGCTTTGGTGACCTTGGTCAATCTGTGTCCTAACCAGTCTGTAGAATGTTGCTAATCTTATTCGGAGTGGAGTGTTTACAGAAACTGTAGGCATTCTTTCGAGTAACTGGAAGCTAACCAATACTGATGTTGCATAGACATACTGTAGTCTGCTAAATACTCAGGAGAGTTAGGATGGGGGGAATAGATTCCCCTTCTGCAACTGAATCGTCTATACTCTGACTAGAAAGACAAAAACACCCTGGAAAAGTAAGAGCTTGGCTTGCAAAAACTGGTTATCTTTCTTCTGCATCAAAATGTAGTTATATTCAAGCATGACTAGAAAAATCACTTTGAACACTTTTTCAATGAAATGTGAAACTAGTCCTGGCTACTATTGCTCACGCATGATGCTCTTTGGAACAGTAGTGGCACGTGTTCCATTCTATTTTGCATTTGGAATTGAGTGTAGTTCTCCTTATTTCCCATCAAATTATGTGCCATCCTCTGTCTTGTAGGCACACTGCGTCTTGCAGTGGCTGAAGGAAGGGACGAGTGTATGTGTAAAAAGTATGTGATCTGTTCTTTAGTCAGACTTGTATGGTTTGGACTACTTGTGAAACTGCTTAAGAGTTTGTGCTGTTGTTCTAACCTTGGTGATCCTCTCAATACCATACATGTGCAGTATTAGCGTAACAGTATTTGAGCTTGTGTAGTGCTTGCTTAGCAACCTTTGTATATGTTTCAGTACTTAAGCTTAAAAAGCTATTCTTATCAGAATTGGAGCCTTACTCTAAAATTGCTTGTTGACTTTCCACCTTCTCATTAGGAAAAGTGGGTTGAAGTTGCATCAATGAAGATGCCAAGAGCTGGTGTCTGTGTTGTGGCTGTGAATGGATTTCTTTATGCTTCGGGAGGCCGTGCTCCCAGTCATGATTTTGCTGCTCCAGTAACCTCTGACTCTGTTGAAGTGTATAACCCCCATATGGACAGTTGGACTGAAATTGCCAACATGATCACCAGCCGCTGTGAAGGAGGTGTCTTCCTTGGATTTCCAGTTTCATTGTCCAGAAACCTGAAGCTCCTGCTAATGGAAGAGTAGAGGCCATAGAGGAGTAGATCACAGGGCTCTTCCTGAGCAGAAGGAAATGTTAAAACTCTTGGCCCTGAAAGTAAATTGGCTTGTCCAAAGTCTGTTTCAGGAAGCGCTCTGCGAAGAGTAGGAATACCTTTATGACTGGGTTAAGCTCACTGAAACAACTGGCAAATTAGCCCTGAAGATACCTGATCTGAAGAAATCATTCCAGCACATAGAAACATCAATCAGATTAACTCCGTAAGATGCGAGACAGTTGGAATCTTTAGCAGGCCTTATAATCTGGAAGGAAGCTACTACAGACAGCTGGGAATTATCTATAGATAAGAGCAGACTGGCTACTTGACTAGTATTAGTTGTCCTCTTCTGGCAGAAAACAACGTAGAAAGGATGAAAGATGGAGAAGGCTTGGTACTTACGGCTCTAATATATTTGAGCCTCTCCTGTGCTGCTGGGCGTGGGCATTAAATATGAATTGGATAACTACTTTCTTGCTACCCCACGAAACTTTAGTGATAAGTGACTGAGAATTTCATGCTCTGAAAGGTTATTCTCACAGTTGTCATACTGTCATTCCGCCTTTGTGCAGGCTTTTCTTTTCAGTGATATCGGTGATGATGTTAGAGCTCCTATTCAGTAAGCTCTGATCAATTTTAAATGGAAATGCTATTCATTAGATTAGCTGTTTTGTTTAGGACTGTTCTTAATACAAAAACTTAGGAAAAGCCTCTTGCCCACGCTCCTCCCTTACTTGAACGTGTTTTACCCTGTGTGACAGATGCTGAGACTGGACATTGGAACAGAAGCTGTTCTAGAAGGTACGCATGTTCATGCTTGCTACATCTTGCATCCTCTCTCTTCCAAGTTCAAATGGACAGAAGTTTTTGCGATGTAATTGGTTGTATTCAGTATTAGTGATGCCATTAGCATGTTTTGTCTGAAGGATTTTGTATTTAGCTTGGACACTTAGTAGAGCAGTATTTCTAGCAATTAAATGAATCTAGGAATAGTTATAAATTAACTTGTTGTGGATGAGTGAGGTGGGACTCAGACTCTGAAATAAGGCTGCTTGGACTTTGATAGACAGTGTTGTTCTAGAACACAAAACCACAACTGGAATGTCCCCAAACAGGAAGCCTGCGCTAAGTAGACAAAGGAGCATTCACACCATTTAGGTCAACATCCACTATGTAATATTAACAAGTTATTGTATGAATAAAAGCCTCCAAGGTTAGTGGTGTAAGAACCTTAAGAATCTAGGTTTTACATTCCAGCATAGGGTTGGGAGACTGCCATGCTAAAACGTGCTATATGATGGAGCATTTGTTTCTCTGATCTCCCTGTAATCTTGTATACCTTTTTTTTTTTTTTTTTTTTTTTACTTCAGAAAGGACTTTTTATGCCTGTAGACTAATGCATATTTCCCCCCGCCTCCCCAAAGCTGAAGCTAGTTGTTTTAAACAGCTTTTCATAATGAAATGCATATTCCTACTGATGGTGAAATGTTCTTTTACAGGGAGCTTTCCTATTGTAGTAAGCTGTATCACTGCCGCTCTTGTCTAATAGCTCTTGTTTTACTGGGAATCCTGTTTCTCAGTAGGACACTGGGAAAGATTGTTTATAAATGTTAATGTTTACTGTTTTTAAACTGCAGGTTACACACTTCCCTAGTGAAATATTTATGTACTTCTTCCTTCAGTATAAAAACACTCAGGTTTCTTGGAAGTGTGGCTGCCTTGCTAACTGCCGTTATAGGCCCCTCTCAGCCCAAACGACAGGTAATATTTCTTAACCTTTCTTCTTCTTCACGCTTCATGACCCTTCTTGAACTGTTTGAGGAAACCTTACTTTAACTGTATTTTATTTGTTTGGGAGTTACTAGTTCACTTCCAATCTCATCCCATAAACTTCCTGTTTTGGAGCAGCTGGAGGGAATCAGTTGTCATGTGAAGCTACCTTCTCCAGTTTTTGAGATTACATTCTGTCGTGTTTCAGTGAAAATTAATTGACTACGGTCTCTGATGCTCAATACCTCTTCCTTTGACTCTAGGGCCAAAGCAAATTCTCTTCTCTAGACCCATTTAAACAATTGCCATGACTGAGTAAGAAAGAATAAAATCAGTGTTTTAATTTACAAACTCAATTTTTTACTTCCTTTGTATTCAGAGAGCACAGGAATATATCACTGTTTCAGGGATAGGATGCTGTTAACCTGTCAGTTTGAAAGTTTCAGGCTTATGTATGTAGCTGCTGTTTCCTCACATAAGAGGAAAATGGCTCCATTTTTAAGACAGGCAGGTTTTTTTATCCTGTTCTTTGCAGAATGAACAGATACCGAGTTTAAGTTACAGCAGGTGCTTCGTTCTTTATTAAACACATATGTAGAATGGTACTTCAAGAGAACTGTGAGGATTACCTAAACTGGTGCTAAGTATGTGTCTAGTCGTAATTTTTTGGCTTTCTTCTTGCTTCTCATAGTGTCCTTACGATGAAAAGCCTACAGAACATACACAAATACAACTCCTTCGGTTTATTGAGGCAGCTGAGGGGAAAAAAATCCATGTGACTTCCTTTCACAGTATATGGGGGAAGAAGTTACAACGTGGAAAAAGCATAATCTCTTCACATTTAGTGTTTTCAACAGTAGCCCCCCCCCCCCCCCGCCGGTTGGTAGGACATAAGTCTGTTTCTACCTGTCCCAGGTGCTCAAATTCAGTTACTGTGTTGAGGGAGAGGGCACAAACTCATTTTGAGTCCCATTATTTGGTCCCTTAGTGCCAGAGATGGAGCGTTTGTGTCATATCATACCAAGCATCATTTGATAGTACTTTCACGTAGGACTATGACGGTTCTTTATGGCTATGTTGCATGCAGCTTCCTTGGCTAGGTAACCTGCAGTCTAAACAAAATCTAGAAACAGCTGGATCAGATATTACTTATTTCAACAAGCCTATGCAGGAAGCTAATCTTTTTGTCTCTGGTGGCACCTTACAGAAGATACAAGTGTTAGCTTTCTCCTCTAGCTTTCTATACTTCTCACAATGGTGGATAAACTACTTAAGGTAAACGCTGACCTTTGCTTGTCGCTGCAAACAACCCTTGCCCTGGGCTTGTTGCTGCAAACAAACTCTGCTTTGCCATGCCTTGCCTTGCCTATCCTTTGTTACCTGACTAATGTTTCATCACATAGCACTTTCAGCATCTTCTCTGCTGAAATGAGGCAGAGTTTTTTGTTGGGGTTTTTCTTTTTTTTTTTTTTTTTTTTGCATCTCTACAAAATAGCAACTGAATCAGTATGTACTTCTCTTCCATTTCCCTAAATAATAAACTACACTGGATCAGAAGTGTCTTCTCAGGGAGCAAGAATTGCTTCACCTTGCTTTCACCTTCCTTTAGAACATTTGCTTACGGTTGCCTGATTGTTCTACCCAACACAGAACATTATCACATGTTGCAGTTAAGCCAGATACTTCAGTAATTCAATAAAGCAATTCATATTCTTGTCAGATGACTGTCCATCTTAAATTCATAGGGCAGTGACATCTTGTCTCATTTTAGAGTGATACTTTATTCTGCAGGTAAGACCAGATTCATGCCAGGCTTGAAAGTGATCAGTATGTACAGTCCTTCCCTGCTAAACTTGCTAAGAAGCTGTTTGCTTCTGGTACAAGCATCTTGAATGGTGCTATCTTATGACTTCTAAGCACAACCACTTTTTTTTATTTTTGCTGGAACTCAATACAAATGCCTTGTTCACAAATAAATACCTCTTTCCTCTAGTTTTCTTATTTTGTGTTCTTGCATTTATTTGTGCTGCTACTTAACTGCTTCTCTGAATCAATTGTCTTCAGTGCTGCAGTGGCCAGTAGTGATACTACTGCCAGCACTGTTACCACAATCCTCAGCGCTTTAAACCAACTAGGGTAAGTAGGAAGAAGGCCAAGGTCATAATGCAGTGCTATTCCTAAACCCATTACAAGCAGGATTGCGCCATGAGTGACATCTTTAAAAAGTAAGGCCTGCCAAGCAAATAAAGGAGGAACTGTACTGTTAGCCAGGTTCAGCCAGTCAGGCTTGGCTGGACTGTTTTCTGGGACAGCAAAACCCCACCTGATTCCTCCTAGAAAAGAGACTATTATGGCACCATATGTAATCTGAGCAAACGCCAGCTCAGGGTAGTAGGTCCCTTGGATGGCCATCACCAGGGGTGCCGAAACAAACGGAATTAGCCCTGCAAGGCTTAAGTAAAGGGCTGGCTTTGGAGAATCCTTTAGTGACTTCATACTGTATTGCGTCGGGTCCAAGGCTTTAGTCTCAGGTTCTTTGGGGGGTTTTTTCTTTAAAAGGGGGATAGAGGTATGAAATGCCTGTAGCTTGGTTGCATGTATCGATGCTTGGTCGAGACTTGGAGATCTTGAACGAAGACAAACATCTCTCTGCAGGTGGAGGATGAGAGAAGAGCAAGCTGTCTTATTCCTTCCATACTGTAGCAGTCTGGGACCAGTTAACTTCTGGAGCTGCAATTATAAAACTTGTTTTGAACACCTTGCAATGAAGGCTTATTATCCTGCAGTTACCTAATTTAAATGTGAAATTTTGTACCAAGTACTTTTCCAGGTCTGGGTCCCCCATAGTTGCCCTTCCCCTCAGTTTTCAGATGTTTTTAACTTAACCAGGTAACTGACATGGCTTTCACAAGTAATCTGATGAAGAACAGCTAGGTTCTTTGTAGTGAATAAGATCTGAAAGAATGATATCCCCTTTTTTCTTCCACCCACACGTTCCTTAGGCATTTTTAAATTGGATGTAGCAGTCCTTTCCGCAGAAAGGATTATAGAAATAGGACAGTTGTCAACCCAAAAAATTAGCTGCTATTCCCACCACCACCACTATACAAAACCAAAGATAATAGGAGGTGGGAAAGCACCTCAGTCACTAAAACTTGATTTTTTATAAAGTAAATGTCTTAGTTTTGGCTAAACGCTGCTGTAAAATTAGGAATTCTCTCAGAAAAGTTTACGATGAAAGTATGCCTACTGTGACATGTCAAGTCACCTTTTTTCAATGCTCCAATTATATCTTTTGCTGTTCTATTTTTAAAGAAAGAGTAAAAAACGCTTCAGAGACTTACTTTGAAAGGTATCTGGAAGGAGCATCGTCGTATAAGATGAAACATACTTGGTTTATCAAGGCCCTAAAACAAAAATTCAGGAGACGGTCTGAGATTGATGAATAGCTGAGTTTGTGTTACATCCCAAGTCAAGTCATAGTCTTGATTTGTTTATCAGTTGTAAGACTCTTTGTATACTTAAAGATAAATATTTTATGCATTCTATCCTTATATGCCAGCCACAGAGCAACGTGAAGCAAAATAGCCTATGAACTGCAGTCCTAAACTTGTAATAACTGTTACAAGAACGGTTTCTAGTTAAAGACCTGAACACCACAAACCAGACGATTCTTTCCGGCGTACAGGCGAGCTCTGTTACAGCTCCCTCGCGCGGTATGCAGGGTTGCCTGAAGCTGGGGAATGACGGAGCGCTCAATTCGCTAGATAACAGGAAAACGACCCTCAGCTGCTACGGGGTGGAAACTTCATTACGCTCCCAAGTTGTACCTGAGCTACCTCGAGAAGGGACAAAAGCGAACGGGGAGAGGCAAGCAGACCGCCA